CCCCAAAACCCCAAAACCCCAAAACCCCGTGCTGTTTTAATAAATTTGATTGAATAAAACATGATAAAAATTCCTCACAAATATTAAAGCTCTAAAAGTTAAATAAAACAATTTTTGTAATCGAACTGATAGATTAAATTTAAGATTATCAATTTAATTGATATAATAAATGATTTCCAAGGAAAACACTCAGAAAAAGCAAAAGCTTTTTACAGATTATGAGCTCCATGAAGGTTGGGTTGAGTTATGTAAAAATGAAAAAAAATCTCTCATCAAGTATATTCTTCCTTTAATATTTATCCAATAGGTCTATAAGAAACAGCATCTAGTATGGTTATGCAAAAGACAAACAAAGAGCTTAGAAAATTCTTGATATTGAGCTAGATAATAATTCAGATTCAGAATATGAGCAGCCTTCCGCTTCTAAAAATGATTTTTCAGCTGATAGGTCTAGTAGTAAATACCAATCAGAAATATACAAAAAAGAGCAGTAAAAATTGCTTGAAAGAACGAGGAAAATTGAAACACTTTTTGAGGACAAGATAATGAACCTCAAATCAGAGTAGTTTATTGCTATTGAAGAAAAGAATCTCGGGTTTACCAAAAAGAGGTTTTATAAGAAAAATGAAGTTAGAGGCTTGTAATCAAAGATCAATTTGAAATTCCCTATCAAAGAAATGCTCCATGATAGAGCAAAGGAGGCAATCAAAGTTAAAGAGGGGCATACCTAAGAATTCGACAAGATTTATAACGAATAGTGCAATCCATAATTCTAAAGGAATAAAAACAGGAATGTTAGTAATCAATCGCCCTTTGATAAGAATAATGTTCCTCCAAAATAATACTTGGAAGACGATTATGTGATCTCAAAAAGCCCAAATAAAATGAGCCCTAATCAATATGATGCATCTAAGATACCTTTGGCTGGGAGAGTGTCTGAAATAGGTCATAGAATTCTAGAACTTGGAAGTAGGCGTGCTTTATATATCACGTCAATATAACTTGGAAATTAAGAAGGAACTACAAATACAGGTTACAACAATCCATTTTAGGAATCAAGGACATCAATTAATTAAGAAAAATCTCCAAAGAATAGAAGTCCTAACTAAAAAGATAATGTCATTTTCAACTCTGAATTCAACAAATACTTATATGAAAGTTAGACTCTAGTTGGTACCGGTATGGGCACTACAAATAACAATCAAACTTTAAAAAGCAGTATGGATAGGATTTAATTACCCTAGATTGATATAAATCCTTATCTAAAGAAAGGCAATGATGGATTAGCCAATCAAATTTAATATTTGTAAAAATTAAGAATAGCTAACATTTCATAATTAACAACACCCAACTAGCAATCTACTGATGACTTATAGTAAAGATCTATTGAAAATATTAGCCCAGCTAATAACGGCAATAAAAATTTTGAGTTTGGTAGAAGGTCTTAGACAAAATTAAAACCAGAGCAACTTGCAAGAATTAAGGAAATTAGAAGACACAAAAATGAAATGAGAATGAAATCGAAAAGGGACAAACTATCTAGATCTATGCTAGATAAACCTTAAAGCACGAAAAATAAGGAGAAACTCCCATTCTAATTTCAATCAAACTACTCGCATAATATAAGTAATAACTTTATTAATATGAAGAGTGGGCAGGAAAAACTTACCAAGGAAGAAATTTCCCCTAGAAATTAGGCAAGAACATCATCTCTATTTAAGAAAAGCCCTAGATATAAAACAAGCTAGTCAAATAATAACAGAAGCGTTACAAACAATAGAGCTAATGGATAATCTCCAAGAGCTTCAATTGAAAACTTTGCTCAAAGACATATTCTGGAATAATTACTTTCAAGGCAAAAATACACAAGCAAAAATTCAGCTCTTAAATAAGTAAATATCACAAGAGAATCGTTTATTTGATTAAATTATCATTATTTAAGGAAATATTTTTCTAATAAATCTCTAACTTAAATGTTGGAACCAGGGGTTTTGGGGTTTTGGGGTTTTGGGGTTTTGGGG